GAGAGAGAGAGAGAGAGAGAGAGAGAGAGAGAGAGAGAGAGAGAGAGAGAGAGAGAGAGAGAGAGAGAGAGAGGCGCTGTCTTTTACACGTGCCAGTTTGTGAGTTTTTTCTGCTGAGCTCTGACAAGGACGAGGTGGGAGGGGGAATATAGTGGAAGGGAGGTAAGAAGGGAGGTGATCACGGGCGTAGGTCCAGGTAGTGTAGTTGTTTAGCCTGCTGTAAGCACTGTGACTAACTATGGAATGAGCAGTGGGGATTAGTTAGGCTTGGATATTCTTAGATAGGCCTCTCAAAAGTACATGGATTACTAGAGCTGCTGTGTGAGAGGTCTAATTTTAGAGGTCAGTCGAAAGAAGTGAATAATTGTGTAGGGAAGGCGGTGAGGGTGTATGTTTGAGAAGGGGAGGGGGGGGGGAAAGAAGGGGGTTGGGGGTAAGGTAGCGAGCTCTGGATAGGGTTTGAAATCTTAACCTGTGGATCATACATTTGAATGTGTGCGTGATTCAGCCAACAGGAGCAGATACGGTGTTCATTAGTGCTTGGTTCTGTCAACAAAAAAAGACATAAGGCCAGTGCTATGCTGTCTCTGTGGCATATCTATCCACAAACATATTCCTCGATGTCCCGTTTGACCCTAGATTAACCCCCCCATTAGCAGCCGCATAACCCACTCCCTCCCCCTCCCCCCCTCTACAATGAGTCCCCATTATGGTTGCTGTATACTAGTACTGGGCATGCATGCCATCTTGTCTTGATTGTTTGTGTTTGGCTCAGTGTGCAGCATGTTCCGTGTAGTTTTCTTTTTCTTTTTCTTTTTTTCCTTAAATTTATGTGCAGTGTTTGTTGATTGGGCTATTGTTTTAAAATACTCATAGGCAGGAAACAGGAGGAGTGGGTAATTTTGTCAGTCCCTAGTCCATAATAGGAAAATTGCTCAATCCAGGTGGACCTGTAGATTTACTTGTTTGGGCAATTGGATGATGGGGTGCCTGCCTGTTGCCACTGGTGTGCTCACATAATGATTTCTTGTGTTTTGTAATGTGTGATTTGTGATTTGATTTTGCAGTTTGTAGAGACACAGTTCGAGCTGGGAGATAACTACAAGGAGGTGATTGCACCACAGGATGTGGCGACATATGGAGGCCTCTGTGCTTTAGCGTCCTTCGACAGGAACGAGCTAAAGGTTAGCGTCTCACACAAGTTCTGTTTCCACTTTTTTGTGGAAATGGAAATGAGTCGAAGCTGAGGATCCATTCCATGTATGGTCATCAAAACAAAAGTGGAGAAAAAACAAAGGGGCTTCGTGTAAGGTCGTAATAATACAGATATACAGATACTAAATAAGAGTAAAGAATAAATATAAATATTCAATCATATGGGGGACAGCTGCATTTACTATTTTATTTTCTTCCCTCAATATTTTCACATCTTACGCTACCTACCTCGGGCTGTGTACTGGAACTTGGTCTACCCATCTCCCGGACCTGCAAGGGACACTGCAACCCAACCAGCAAGGAATCAAGCTCCACATTCGACGGACAGCTGCAGGGTCTAGGGTTGCCCTAATATATAGTAGCTAACACTAAGGGTTGAGCCTATCTCCTCGGAGCCGAGCCCATCCACTCTGCTCTGGGCGGGGAGGGGTACCCAGACTATCTGTAACCCCCACAGCAATCGTTGTTTGCTTTCCTTGCTTCTCATGCCCTCTTTTGTCTCCTCTCTCTCTCCTTGTGTAGTCTTGTTTCCTCCTCTTTTTTCATTTTCTCTGCTCTTCTTTTCGTTCCTTGTCTTCTCCTCCTCTCTTCTCCCCTCTTCTTCTCTCCTCTCTCCTTTCCGTTTCTCTCGCCTTGTCTCCTCTACTCTCATCTCTTTTCTCTTCTGTTCGCTTTTGTTCTGTTCGATGTCTGTGGTGTAGAGTCCATGCTGTTGTGCAATGCCTCCACTTACTTTAGGCTCGCTGTGCGCTGTTTTTTTTTTTTTTTTTGCAGAGCAAGGTCATTGACAACAACAACTTTCGGAACTTTCTAGAGCTCGTTCCAGAAGTGCGGGAGCTGATTCATGACTTTTATGCAAGG